GCATGCAGCATTTTTTTCCCCTACCTGAAAGTAGCTTTCATCAGAAGCAGCTAGGAACTGTTATATTATTCATTCATTCATTTCAGGTAGTCCAACTAGTGCCTTCTTGTTTTTAGAAGCATTTTATTCTACTTACACATGATGTAGATTTAGGATTACTCATACCAGACCTATACAGAGGATTTGCTTTGTAGTTCTGAAATACAGGAATGAACTACATGGAGAATCTAGCTCAAAAAAGAGGACCTTTTGTTAAATATACGTGTATAAGCCATAAGACACAATGAGATACATCACTATCATTGTTACAATTTGGCATCCCCACCATAAGTATTTGCCTGACTATAATCCTACATATATTGCCCTAGACATAAATATTTATCTTGATGACTTTCTAAGTGCAGGGTTTAACTATCATTTATTTCTTATTTATTTAGTAAATAAATAAACTTTATGACACAGGGCATGAGAATTTATCTCTCAGGAATCATCCCCACCGCCCCTTTGACACAGCTCTGAGATGGCCCACTTACTGCTTGTTGAGGGATGTCCTTACATCAGAGCTTCATCTTGTCCCCAGCCCACTGCTGAGGCCGGCTGAAGCCACATCAAAGAGTTATGGCAGGAAGGTGATGTTTTCTACTAGAAAACAGAGGAAAACCTACTATGTGAACATCCTGTGGCACATACAGGAGGGTTTCAGAAGGTCTAACTGGCCCACTGCAGGATCACTCCCTCCCTTTCAGCCACAGGGCTTTGTGCCTTCATGGCCACATTTGCTTTGGCTGCCAGAGAGAATAGATCCTCATGTAGTAACCAAAGGTTTTGTTGGTTTCTTCTTGCTGGAGACTATTGACCTTGAAGTCAGTATTCCCACTTGCACACAAGAAAAATTGACGGAATGACTGCCCTAAGTTGCAGGTGCACACTGGCAGCTTCCCAGCAGTGGCTGCACTAGTGGCAGCTGCCACGGTTTGGCTATACGCTAAGGAGCTCATCTGGGGGTCTGGAACTGTTGCCCTCCCTCCTTCCGTGGGCCAGCTGTAAATGAACTGCCCATCTATCCCCTATCCATTTCTGGGAAATGCTCCACAGGCTGACCAGGTCCCACAGTACCCGCTTCCCCTTCCTCCTCCTCCTCCTTGTTGTCTGGTGGCATGGCACTTCAGGGGCCAGCATTCCCCCACCACTGAAAGATGTTCCTTACTGTTCACAACTGATTGTCAGAGTTCTTCTTGTACCCTACCCCCAATCCTGTCAGCATCAACAACAGCAGCCATGTTGTTTGCCCTCATGTTAGGGCAGCAACTTTGCCAGCTTCATTCTGGAAGTGAGGGAAAAGGAAAACTATGGAGGCAGCAATTTTTTTTATTAACTTACACTGATTCTGTCTCAGGCATGAGAGAAAAGCACCACCTCGGAGTTGTATGGGTAGCCCTTAGAGATAGTAAAATATAGTTTACTGAATCTCCAGGATTCTGATTCTCTATATTTGAGCTTGGGACACCTCCTCCTCAAGTGACATGAGGAAGATGCCAAAAACATCATCTATTTTTGGTTTCAGATTACTATCCACTATCATTTATATGCAGGTGCCCATTTTCAAAAAGGTCTACCTAGGCTGAGCTTTTGTTGGGTCAAGAGCTATACCATCCTTTGAATGGCATGTCGAGGGTATAGACATAACATCTCAACCAATTCACAAGATGAATTCAAGGAAAAATACACAAAAATAAATCCATTTTCTTACATACATATTCTCCCATACTGTACATACACACATGCAAGCCTCGCATAGAGAAGAGGAAGAAGCACAGAACAGGGAGAAGTAGTGGTAACACAGGGGATTTGTTGCTGGTGGGTAATGGCAAGTTATGTATCTATATCCAAGGGAGTCTACTGCAAACTTCAAAAGCAAGGATTTTGATTTATTTCCATAATAATAAAAGTAAATGAAATTCAGTAGTGCTGAATCTATCCTATCTATATCTATATCTATATCTATATCTATATCTATATCTATATCTATATCTATATCTATATCTATATCTATATCTATATCTATATCTATAT